AAGGGCCATTTTGCAGTCTATGTTGGTGATCAGGCTCAAAAGAAGAGGTTCATTGTTCCAATATGTTACTTAACCAACCCTTCCTTCCAAGATTTATTAGGTCTGGCAGAGGAGGAGTTTGGGTTCAACCATCCAATGGGTGGTCTTACAATTCCTTGCAAAGAAGATCAATTTCTCGACCTAGCTTCTCGTTTGAGTGGCTAGTGATCATGAGAGGAGCGGAATGCAGGAGCCTGAAATCAATTGAAGAGGTCAATCAAGAGAATTAACAGATCTGCATCTTGGTTGACATTCTCTTCTGCAACATCGCCAGATCGCAAGTTTAAACCGCATTTCTTACAAGTAAGAAGACAATATATTCAAAGCTGCTGAATGGAGAAAGGACTTTCGTTTAAACTTTCTCTGGTTTTACAGCAAATGGGAAGATTGTGCTCAAAGTTGCAGCCTCAAGGAAAAACACATTAACATGGAAATCAATTTGCAAAGCATCTGCTTTGCCACTCCAATGCATATATAAATTTACTTTTGTACATGACCAGGGAGTAAATCTCCCCAATACAAACATCTTTCAATAAATTCCTCTTCATCTTTTGTTGATCAAACCATTTTGTTTCATTCATGGATACCTTTCTATTTTGATGTAAAGAATTAGTGGCCGAATTATTAATACAAGATAGAGGAGTGTTATCATAGGATAGATTATGGGTATTGGTTGCAATTAACAGTACTGTTGAAAATTGTGACCCAACAGTTGAAGAAAATAGTCTGGGGTTAGCTTATCTCCCATAAATTCTGGAGTACAGTAGTTCTTTTTAATAAATTTATTGTTCTTGCTTGGAATAATTCATGTATTTTCCCCTAAAATGGTTTGAGATCCAAGTAACCCAACCCCAATTACCTAACCATATAGGTGTTGCATACACATGCAACATAAAAAGGGTCAATTGCTGAAGCCCTCAATTATCAGTTGATTTATTGGACGCAATAGCTAATCCAATAATGGATCCTATCAAGGGGAATTATTCTTCAATGAGGAAACCATTCAGTCACCATGAATTTTGAATTTAATTTGCAAAATTATACAAATATAGAAAGTCAACTTGAATAGTTGCAGGATTAGCAGGGAGAGTGGGTATAATCAAAATGTCGAACAATATGACCTTAGTTCTGATCAGACACCTGTTTCCTTACAAATAAATTTTGTAAATTGAGCACTGCATATTGTAAATTGTGGGTCTGTCTATATCTCAGACATGATGTTTGTATACCGTAAATGGTGGGTCTAGACCTGATGATCTTGTTTGTATACTTGTTTTTTACTTTTTATTTGGCAATTTCTATGATACTGGAAAGATATGGTAGCTGTAAAAGCTTTAGTCAATATGATACCCATGTGAATTTGAATGGATACCAGTTCATTAATTGGTTATAAAGTTTTTAAGTGCCATATACACCTTTTTGGTATGCAATCAAAGATTTAACTTGGAGAGATGGAATATAGAATTATGTCAATCAAAAATGTTTGAACAAAAATAATTTACAACTCAAAAAGATATTGGTAAAAAAAAAATTCTATTAATTGATACGGAACTTTTTTCCCTCTTCCTCAACTCTTGTACAAAAGGCTATTTAAACTGAATCATTGCTTTACAAAATTAATTTGATGATTTCTCATAAACTATTCAAGGAAGATGTGAGATGAAGGAAGGCATCCTCTTTGCAGGGGATGGTGAGAGCACCCATTGGATGATCGAATCCGTACTCCTCTTCGGCCTGACTTAACAAATCTTGGAAAGAAGGATGGTTCAGATGTGATATGGGAACCACAAACCGCTTCTTCTGATGAGCCTCTCCCACATACACCGCCAAGTGGCCTTTTGGGACAACCAATGCCACCGCTGAAGCAGTTTGGTTTGCAATCAGAAAAGAGCGTCGAAGCATCATCTTAGCGTGAGACAAAGCAGTAGGCAAACGGATACCCATGGCTTCTACCTACGGTGAAGTCAGAAAGAATTTGCAGATCTAAGAACAAATTATCTTTTAAGAATAGAGAGGCTGTGATTTATGAGGACTTGATTGGAAGGTGAGATTGTATATGGGACGACTAAGTATATATATATATAACTAGAAGAAGCAATCAGAAGTCAAATAATCCCTATCAAATATTGGATGAGTGGTGAAGAGGGGTTTGGGTGGGTCATGATTAGGGACATAAGTCATGAAGGTTCACATGGCTTTGCCGCCAGCTCCATTGTCCTTATTTTAGTTAATTAGGTATTGATAGGGACAAGGAATGCCCAATTATGTCTCTAGATGAGTGAGAGGACGAAAATAGCTTAGACAATGCCCAATCACTTGGGAAACAACGTAGAATATTCTACAACCCAACTTGATGGATGCATGGATAAGCTAGCAGTCGCCCCTTGGTTGTGAATTGAATTATTACAAATACATAACTGGAAATTCTGGCCCTACAGCCTAGCTAGAATCCAACTATGACTTGTTGACTAGCCTGTCGAAATGGTTTTGAATTGTTGTACGTAGCTCCTCGCATAGTCACTACGAGTAGAATGTGCTTTTTAATGTTTTCAAATTTGGGAGAAGGATGAAGGTTCCTACTGGCTCAGTTAGTAAAGCTTCATGGAACAAAAAAAAAGAGAGAAATTCACTGCACCGGTGGCCGGTGTTGGGTTGTTATGGAAATCCAAAAATTTTTTCTTTCCTGCCTCATGAAATCCAAATTATGAACTGCTTCTAGCTCTTCTTAACACAAGCACAATAAGCCTAGCTTGAGAGATACTGATAGCTCATAGCATGCATGCCTCATTTGGATCTTGATGAAAAAATGGATGGGTAATGGTGAAACTCTAATATATTTCTCCTAGCTCTATGCTGTTCTTGTTTTGAGTAAACTGTTGGAAACTTGGAATCAAAAGCTACTTCCGGCCGGTTCTCGTTGACATGGACAAAGACCGGCTTGTGGATGAATCACCATTAATGACATGCCTATATATATATACTGCGTCGAGTCTAGTCAAAAGAGGACAATAATTGAACTTGAACGGCAATACCAATTGTTCTAATTTCCTTGACAATGGTTACAAGGAACAAAGAATTCGGAATTGAGAAATGAAAGAAAGAAATGTTAGATTTTTCGAATAATTGTGAAAGGACAGGAATACCACCAACAACACATGGATGTGTGGTCGATCACTTGTTAAGTGTATGTGTGTAGCTAAGCCAACACTGGGCATACCCCCACCCCTGTACAAGTATACGATGAGTACTCGGTGTGGAAGATTAACTCAAAAAGAGAAATCAAGAACATGTTGCAGTTGTTAGGTATGTAATACGGATCTTCAACAGATCCATTGGTTGCAAGGTACAAATTAAGCCATGTGATCCTTGACGGTATGCAGTTCCCTCAACAGACCCAATTGCTGGTCACTTCAGAAAACATGTATTAATTAGGAATGAATTGAAAGGCGATTGACACTACAATCACTTCCCCACAACTTATCCCAATGTTTACTCAAATGGTCTAGCTTTAGTCATAGTGGGAGGATTTGAATTGAAGTAGTCCATCATGATGTGCTGGCATTTTGAAAATACAATATATATATATATATATATGTTTGCTCTCCAAAAATCTTTGACAAGTCGTTACAAGACAAGACCATGTGATTTCATGATATGTGTTCAAAATTTGGTATATGGATCCGTCTAATCCCTT